AGTTGTGTTGCAGCGTCTGAATGCAAACCGATCCCTGTTGCACGAACATCAACATAGACGATGTCTGCCTTTGCTCAGCAGATCAGACAGAGTCCGATAATTAGACTCCATTGCTGCCGCATGATCAGCCAAATATACTTTTGTGACTCATCAGCTCTGCATCATAACAGATATATCGAATGCATAAATGAAGGTATTCTTAATAATTCAATGGCCACAGTATGAACAACATGTAACCGGCCAAAACACCAGCACTCTAACTGAAACTCGTTCATGCTGTTCATAACGATGACCACAAAATCATGTAAATGTGCCCTCTGGATACTCATATGCCTTTATTTTAAATTAACTGGAAATACGTTGACGTCACGCTACCGTCATTTTTTAACACGTACGCAATCTCATGCACATCCATATACGCATGAGACTTTTCAGTCTGAAAAAATCCTGTTTGTCTGCTCATCACGCACTCCCTCTTTTCTCTAGAACAAGAGAATGACTGATCCTTTGTGTTTGTTCATATTAATAAGTATCTCCGAGTGATCGATTTGCGTATATGGATCCATATTCAAGAAGATGTGCAAAAGTTCGAGTTCGTGCTACCGACTCTCAACTCCCCTTTCGAGCTAAATGTTTCCTGTTTTCTTACCGTCGTCAATCACCTATTGTAATCCTTTGGCTTGTGTCCATCTAAGGGAAAGGATCATGCCATCCTTCGTAGTACAGTTTAACTGCGATGGAAAACTGCAGAAGCAGCAGCCTTAAGAAGGTTTTCGAAGCTGCCGGTCTTTCACTAAATAGACAAGTACTGTGGGCTAGTTTTAAAAGACGAAACCACCTGCAATCCAAATGATCATCATATACAATAAGAACAAACAATTACAGATATTATCGTTGCAATCGACTGTGCTTCCCGACATCCCACATTTTGTGCACATATCTGTACGGCACTTACAGGCGAAACTTGCGCTATCCCCCCCGAAACTATGGAAATAAGCGGAATGGTGCTCACAACTTCTGAAACTCGTCTACCGGATCAATTATAGAAGTGCAAAAGGCTACTATTATTCCATAATTCGACTACTGTAGTTCTTTAAATCTTCATGATCGAAATCTGATAACATTCACCAGGTATACGACGAATTCCTGAATTCACCAGTTGAAACAAATATTCCTCAAAAATCCATACAAAAAATTGCATCTGAACTAGCATGGAGGAATAAAAATGAACAGAAAAGTAACTTAATTCTTTTGGTAGAGATGTCACATCTACAATTAGCATATAATAGGTGATTGACTGTCTCAAAGAGTGAGAATTGATGTTTCTATAGATATCTTACGTGGCGTTTTGAACGTAAGGAGAGGATTTTCATCGTTGTCTTCCCACTTGTGACTTACCTAAAGATCATATCACCTCTCACATAAAAATTCATATGCGATTTTCAGGATTTTCATCGTATCATAAAAATGTTCATGTTTGCATAATATAAAAATTGAACATGACCTACATTTTATACTGGTGATCGCATGCGATAATCAACTACCAGATGTGTCAAGGCGTGATGCGTTCAGATTAGGGAGCACGACCGTACCCCTCATCAATTCTGACCACCGCGGAACACCGTGCTACTTCTGTGTTGCAAATCACCGTTATGCCACCCGTTTACTGGCTTGTTGCATTGAGACAACGAGGAATGAATTTCTTTCTCAAAGGAATTAGCGATTAAGACAAAATTTTCCTTTTATGATTTGAATCTGGCACATTTAGAGTTCGAAGCCGTCTTCTTGCCCCGTACGGGGCCAAGCTGCTGCCTCTTTTCAAACGTCACTCAAAAATGATATGGCCGCCGCCATTATTGACACCAAGATGATTTGTAAAATTTTGCTTGTTTCTGGAAAGCGAGTGAGGTAAACTTTGATCAGCGAGTCAAATGATTTGCTATGCCACTATTTCAGTGAAAATGTGAAATGCGTCACTGTTTTCTTTTGATCTTAATTTTCTATCGTTTGAAAAGGCAGAAGTTTTTTCTATTCCTAGGAACACCTTATTTGTCATCATCATTCGAGGTCAACATGGCTCAAACAGTACAGTTTCGCTGATTTATCACGTATGGTCGTTACAAATAGTACTTCAGACTGACATTAAGTAAGGGTCACATTAATTTTATATTTCCCTTTTGTGGTCAAAGTAGGTTAGCTAAAACAGCGTCAGAATCGCAGCTGAAAGATTGCGGATTCGACTTTCAGAACGGTCCTTTTAAATTATGCCTTTTATGTTTCCGTGGTAGAAGAAACGTGAGTGTACTATGCGGGAGGGATGCAAGAAAATACAAAGCTGTAGATATTGTTTCCATCGACCTTAAAATGCAAACGTACCATTACTGGCTAATGGTTGTGCAACAGAGATCGAAAACTTCCTATTAGATCAATGGAAAGAACGCGCATTACGTACAGTATGCAATCGTGTCGGTGCATGACTGCTTTGATTATCACCTTGAGCCGTTTGCCATAGTTTACGATGCACGTTGTATACTCAACTCTTCAGCACATTCGCTATACCATATGGCAGTGGTA